TGAGCCTATTATTGTTATTTTATATATATATATATATTGCCACTGTTATATTGTTTTGATACTACTGACACTTATTGATCTGCTGCTGATAAATAAAAGAGAACCTACATGGCGATGTCTTGCGTGTCTTGCTTATTTCTCCTGACACTTTATCTTTATGGTGACCTGTGTAGCATCCTATACATCACATGTAAGAACATGTAATGTTCTTTCTGTTGCCGTCTGGCAGACGTTACCGCAGCATCCTGGCAAGGACAAGAAGATTCGGAGACAGTTTCTTCCCGCGGGCAGTGAGACTGTTAAAAAATTGAACTGTTGAAACAACTTCAAACATTCAACTGCTACTCAGTAGTATGTATCTAATACCTAATATATATATATCATTCCAATAACTTGTATATAGACTCATACTGCACTATTCCACATCATAACTTTATTTCATTTTTATAACTATTATTATTTTTGTATTGCTCTTGCTCTTATTGTTATTATGTTATGTTATTATGTTGCATTGTTGGAGAAGCCTGTGACATAAGATTTTCAACTGCATAATTACTCTGTAGCTATGTCAGATTGACAATAAAGAACCTTGAACCTTGAACTTGAAGTGATTATTCTGATACCATCATGACACCATGAAACTGGCGAAGCTTTATTTATAGTGTCCCACCCCATACATGTGGCTTTGAAAAAGATCATTCCATTGTATTTCAAAATGGCGTCCATCAACACAAACACTATTTAAATAAATGGTTAAGTTTGTAATTAACAGTGTTGTGAGTTCAATATTTTAATTAATTATAGTAAGGGAACATAGGAGTTCGTGAACTGAGTTCCTCTCAGGAGGATATATAATAAAGGTGTTAACTGCTGAGCCTATTTACTGTGCAATACTACAGACATGTTAGTGGTATTATTTCTTATCTAACTCTTTCCTATGGTCAGACAAATCAGAAGTAATTTAAACTTAATTTGAGATTTTGTTCTTTTTTTGTTTCTCAATTGATTTTCCAGAATATGCACCACCTAGGCATAGACTTTATATCACAAATGAATGACATGTACTACAGTAATTGATTATATTGATATTGCCTACTCAGATATAAATGTGTATAAAATGAAATCAATTCAAAGTTTCTTGCTGCTTTTAATGCAATTCATGGCTGCAGGGCACACGTCCAAAATCCTTATTCTACAATCATTTAATCAAGACACTTGTGTATATTTTACTTTAATTTGTAATAAACAAAAAAATATGAATGGTTGTCATCATTGCTCAGTATTACTTAGCTATTTTAAAGTACTTAAAAACTATTATAAATATTGAAAAGTCATGACTGATGAAGTGCATTGTTCTGCTGACAGTATTTCTACTCAGTATTTCACCTGTATGGTGCGGTCCTGGGCGACAACACACAGTGAAGATGATCTGCTGCACGTACGTAGTTCTTCAGGTGTGTATGCTTAACATGTATGTATTTATCACAGTAAAGATGGTATACAAAAGCTTTTTTAAGAGCCTTCAACCTCATCCCATTGTCTTTAACACACATTCAACATAATAATATACTCATTAATATACAAATATACAGTATGAGTACTGTTTTGATACTGACATTTTATCTTTGCACTAAGGTGTGTATGCACTATTGTAATTTTGTCTGTTGACTGGGGTAAATAAAAGAGAGAACCAAAAGTACAAAAGATCAGCTTTATTGTCAATTTACATGTTCAGATGCGTCATAAGAGCTGTGCGCGTGTCTTGCCCACCAGCCTCAACAATGTCTGGCGCTGGCCCATCAAGCTGGGTCGCCGGTAAGGCAGTCCATTCCTCCCTGTACTCATCACCACGACGCTCACACAGGTTATGCAATACGCAACATGCTGCCACCTGGATTTTGATATTGTCCATGTTGCAGTCGTTTCGCTTCATCAAGCACCGCCATCTGCCCTTCAGTCTGCCAAAAGCGTTCTCCACCACCACTCATGCTCGGCTTGTTTTGCGGTTGTACACATGTTGCTGGGGTGTGAGCCTTCCTTGGAAAGGTTTCATCAGCCATCTTTGCAGGGGGTAGGCTGAGTCACCAAGGATATAGTAACCCACATCATGTCCACCAATATTCTTTGTTACATGAGGAAGTAGACCACCTCTATCCACACAACTAACCAGTGATGACAAGCTGAACACTCTGCTATCATGCATGCTCCCTGGTAAGCCAACAAAAACACTCCAAAAGAGGCCCTTACCATCCACAACACCCTGCAGGATGACCGAGTGCCAGCCTTCGCGGTTGAAATACTCGTTGTGGTATTCCTCTGGTCTCAGAATAGGGATGTGTGATCCATCTACTGCACCTACACACTGTGGCACACCCCACCTGCCCTCAAAATATAACGCCATCTCCTCTAACTTCTCAGAGTTCGGCCATGGCATGAACTCAGGAAGGAGTAGCGTCACAACAGCGGAACAGAACTCCTGCACACAGCAACACACCGTAGATCTGCCGACTCCAAACAAATGAGAGATGGTCCTGTATTCAGAGTTGGTCGCAAGTTTCCACAGTGCTATGGCGATTTTTTTAGGCACGGGTACACACTCCCGGTAGTTGGTGTTGCGTCTCCCCAACGTTGCTTCCAGGCGCATACAGAGCAGTTGAAAAGAGCACTTGGACATTCGGAAATCTTTGATCCACTGCACATTGGTGTACGTTGGCACCACCTTTTCCCACCAGGCCGACGTTCTATTGTTCACCCAGAGAAAGCGCGGGACACGACGCGTTCCATAGTATTCGCATATCTGGAACACATACAAAGACACAAATTAGCCCTACATAACTCCATAAATCCTACATTAGATAGTATTAATGTGATTTACTGAACGTACCATTGCTGTTCTTTGGGCGTGATAACGGTCATCCTCCTCAGCTGTCCTACGACGAAACATGTCCAGAGCGTGTGCTTGTCGCCGTCCAGTCCTTTTGTTAAGGCTTCTTAACCGCCTTCGCCTCCGAATCAGCATTGCTATTGCATTTGAATGGTCGATCTGTATTTGTGGCTGAGTTATTGGCTTAAATAACTCAGTTACGAAGCTGTGTAACACGAGCACCAAAACCACAACTTCAGTCAACTCCATAGCGTGTCTGACTGAGGTCGGAAGGTAAACAGAAGCATACAGCGGAAGCGGAAGTTTTTTTTCTTCTTCTCTCGGTTTTTTGGCGGATTGCAACTTTAAGGTGCATACCGCCACCTACTGTACTCGCCGTGAAGTTGTTTGCGGCCTGCCAGGAAAACCAAAGCAGAAGAAGAAGAAGTGACGTCAGCGGCTCATTTGCCTAATCCACCCCCAGGAACTCATTTTGGTGTGAACGCGATCTGCTTTAGTTCGTCAGAACTAAAAGAACTCTCATGAACTAAAGTTCTCATGAACTACTGTGGGAAAAGTACTTGGTGTGAACGCGCCTATTGTATATTTTTAGTAGTAGGCTAACTAATACAAAGTCAAATAGTATCAATTTCATTAAGAACTAATGGTAAAATTGTATTTTTATCATTCATCAAAGACAGCAGAAAACATGCATTATGTACTATGGAGGGGACTCTGACAGAGGATTACTCACAAAGTACACAGTAAAAGTACTTCATTTCATTTCTGGTAGTAGTAAAATTAGTACAGAGTCCAACAGTGTCAGTTTTATTAAGAACTTGTGGTAAAAAATATTTGTATCACTCATTGAATATAGCAGGGAAAAAAATGAAGAGCAGCTGATTTGAAAAAAGAGAGAGACGGCTGAGTTGACCGCAGTGCAGAATCGCTGTATATCTCCTAACAATGTTGTCCATTTTAGACATAGGCCTATTATATTTACAGCCCTTAATAACATTCATTTTCTGGGCTCAATATGTGTCTTGGCCGTTTTCGTTGTGATCACTAAACTCACCTTGTTTCCCTTTGTTTATAATATCACCGTTCCAAGGGCTTTTGTTTTGAAATCACTTCCGCGAGTTTCTTCCCCGCCCCTCGCTCCAATGACCATTAGACCATTTAGTAAGGTAAAAGAAAAGCCTCTCAGACGCTCTTCCGCTGACTTGTGTAATAAAGAAAAACAAATGGACCGTAGATACACGGATTAGGGCGACACCATCTGGTCACAACTTTAAATATTTGACCATGTTTATGTGCAAATGAAGAACTCTCACTGGTTCAGAACCTTTTTCCTTAAGTGAGTCTCTTTTCTTTTCTGACTTTATGGGTATTTCACTTTATATTAAATACATAATAATAAGAGTGCAGAACATCTAATACACTTCACTATGAATCCAGAACAATACAACTGCAGGAGTATGGATAAAGCGAGATGTTTGCATGCATTTTGAGCAGATTTGGGCAGAATCCAGCAGAGTGGATCGTGCTGTTCATCCTATGTAATCTATATGTAAAGAAACAAGTCTAAATATTTAAGATAAAGCTGTGAAACAATCTCAATAATTGGCAGTAAATATTTGAGTTTATTTTTAATTGGAATAAAAGGATACATGTTGAGATAGGAAGTTCTAATATCTTAAGAGAAGAGCTTGAATATTAAAAGACACAAACTCTTTTGGCTCCTTCCTGTCTTTCTACTGGGTCTTTCTTGGCTTTGTACTGGCTATCTTCTAGCTCTATTCAGGTTTTTGGAGTTTCTTCCTAGCTCTATCCCTGATAATTTTCAGAACCTGAAGGCTCTATACGGACTATCTTCTGGTTCTCCTCTGGATCCATCCACTATCTCTTGTCTCTGTCCAGTGAATTACACTTTTGTTACTGGAGCAGGTAAAGCATACAACAGATACTTTCAGCATTATCGGAGCACGAAGTGGACGCTTGGATGAAACACAGCGGACTTCTAAACAATGAACACCCGCAACTTGGAAGAAATAAAGTTGGGTTTTATGCGTTCTAATATTGCATTGCAAACCCATGATGTAATGACAGTAATTAAGAATAATTTAGTCATTGAATGCTCATTTCAGTAGATTTAATCAAACAAAACATAAACATATTGGACATGGCCTCAAGACTGTAACCTCTTCACATTCTGATGAACTAGTCAATCACTAGCCATATCTTACACATTGCTGTTTTGAATCATTAATATGTGGATGACAGTTGAACTGGATGATGTAACATTTATGCCATCTGCTGGAAAGAAGACGTATCGCTCTGTTGGCGTTGTTTAGACAACAAAAACAGAGTGAAGCTCTCATTTCATAAACAATCTTTGAGTACAGACACCGTCCTGCAGAGAGCACACAACCCAACAGCACGTTTTTGGTCTAGCATCACTTTACAAAACGTTTCCATTAAGACACTAAGACTAGCTGGTCCCTTGTAAAGGTGAGTCCACCTTAAATGAGCAGTGGGTGATGAGCAGGTGAAAGGCAGGACACGGGAACTTGGTCCTGAGGAGATGTAACGATTATTAAACAAGAAATAGTCGAGTCAAGGGGTCAAAGAAATGAACATTTGTGATTATTCGCGAATCGGTTGCAGGTGGGTGAAATCAGGCTTAGGGAGTACCGTATTACATGTAACGGCATTAGGTAATCCGGATACAAAATAGACAAATGTATTCCCTTACAGTTTCAGAAGCAGCTGACGACCAACACACTTGTGTCTTTTGAAACGATTACGCCATTTAAATATTTTGTCACAAACTTGCAGCTCTATTTTTCCTCTCCTCTGTGGACTCTCATGTGTGTCTTTAAATTTCCCCTCTGTGCAAAAGATTTGGTACAAACTGAGCAGCTAAATGGTTTCTCTCCTGTGTGGATTCTCATGTGATCATTTAAATTTCCTCTCTGCACAAAAGATTTGGTACAAACTGAGCAGCTAAATGGTTTCTCTCCTGTGTGGATTTTCATGTGTTCATTTAAATTTCCAGTCAGCACAAAATATTTGGTACAAACTGAGCGGCTAAATGGTTTCTCTCCTGTGTGGACTCTCATGTGTGTCTTTAAATTTCCCCTCTGTGCAAAAGATTTGGTACAAACTGAGCAGCTAAATGGTTTCTCTCCTGTGTGGGTTCTCATGTGTGTCTTTAAACTTCCCCTCTGTGAAAAGGCTTTCTTACAGACTGAGCAGCTGAATGTTTTATTTTCAGCACTACGTCGTGGATCACTGACAGATTCATGTCTATTTTTCAGTGAGTTTGAGCCTGATGCAGGTTCTCTGGTATCTTTCCAATCAAAACTGTCTTCAGTGTCAGGTTCAGAAGAGTCTCCAGTGTCAGGTTCAGAAGAGTCTCCAGTGTCGTCCTCAGTCTTTGGTTGTAAACTTCTCTCTGGATCCGAGTTCCTGGCTGGTTCTGGTCCTCGACAGTCATCTCCATCAGCTTCTGTTTCCATGTGTTCAGTTTGTCTTTGATGAGGCTGTGAGGACTGAGGTTTCTCTTCATCATCTTCACTCTTCACAGGGTCAGGAGTGAAAGTGGACTTGGTGATATCAGCCTCCTCCAGCTCCTGAAGCTGCTCTCCCTCCTGACTGATCCTGAGTTCCTCCTGTTCCTGCTTAATGTGTGGGGGGGGCTCTGGGTCCTCCTGGTCCAGACTGGTGCTCCACTCCTGCTGGTCAGGGAGAAGCTCTTCTTTAACCACCACCAGCAGCTGGACGTCTGCAGGAAACAGGAAACACACAGTCAGAACAAACTGTTAAGTGTTAGCATTTAAAAATCTAATCACCATTACAATGGGAGACATTTTGCAGCCCTAATTAATGCCTTTGTTTTTATATTTTCACATTATCTTTCTTAGTCCCACCTATTGTGTATTTTTGTTGGCTCAATTCACCTTATGTAGCCCAGCCCCTTTCCACTTCCAGTTAAAAATGAAAAAGGTTTTTTTCTTCTGGCGTAGCACTAGCTGCAATGTAAACAAGGAATTGTATTTGGGATCGTTCACAGATACACTACACCTACAGTATATAATTAAAATACTCTGTTAAAAAATTAAAATCCTGCATTCAAAGCTTATTTAAGTAAAAGTATGCAAGTATTAACAGAACATTTTACGGCACCTTCTTATGTAAAAGTAATGATGGTGCAGTAAAATGTTCCCTGTCAGTGTTCAATTTATGATGTTTCTTGATTATTGTGTATGTTGCATTTTACTGCTGTACATGTTCAAAGTTGCGCTTGTATAAATGATTATAGATGAGGGAACCTGCTAAATATTAAAATGTGTGTGTTTTATATACAGTACCAGTCAAAAGTTTGGACACCTTCTCATTCAATGGTTTTTGTTTATTTTAATTTGTTTCTACTTTGTAGATTAATACTGAAGACATCAAAACTATGAAAGAACACATATGGAATTATCTAGTTAACAAAAAAAGTGTTAAAAAATTAAGAATATGATTTTTATTTTAGATTCTTCAAAGTAGCCCCCTTTTGCCTTGATAACAGCTTTGCACACTCTTGGCTTCTCTCAGTCAGCTTCATGAGGTAGAACCCTGGAATGGTTTTCAATGAACATGTCTGCCTTGTCAAGAGTCAATGTGTGGAATTACTTGCCTTCTTAATGTGATTTAGCAAAAAGAAACCACTTCTGGGCTCATTTGGGTGGATACCATGCATATCTCTGGCCCCCCTTGCTCAATTTTGATGGTTGACACCCAAGCGGCAAACTCTGGGGAAGAGCCGGGACGCCAATACGGAAGTGCCACAAACTGCAGTTCATATATTGGCCGATAGGCGATGACTGCAGAAAGGAGCAATTTCCATAGACCCCCATGTTAAAATGCCCAATTTCACAGCAGAAAAAAAAACGTTTCTAGCCCTGGATGCAATAAATATTATTATGTATATAGTTAGATTCCACCTTCATGATTATGAATCTGTGAGTGAATTGTTTTCTAACATGACCCTTTTATTTATATTAGGTCTTAAAGTTTTTGCAGAAATTAGGGCGTGGTCGCATTGAGTGACAGCTCTGTCAAGTGACTGCTGCTGTTAGCTTCTTGTCTCTCTGCTAGCTGCTCCGTCTCCGTGAAGCTACAGGGATTCTGCCTGCTCAGTTCATCCAGGGAACACAACTTGACCCCGGCCGTGTTTGTTTGTTCTTCATGCTTATATATCGGACTATTGTGACTCGCTCTGCGGTTAAAACAGACGGTGCATGAATGCGGTTTTGCGGTAAGTGAAATTCGAGTACTTTATTTATGTGTTTATGATTTCAATCAGCTACGTAATGAATGTTAAGGCTTGGGTTAGCGTGTAAGCGAGTGGTAGCTACATCGGTGCTAACGATGCTAATCTTAGCCTCCAAATTAACTTAAAACCATAGACTGTATATATAAAGGTTCAAACGAAATAGACAAGTGTTAAGCGTTAAGTGGGATAATACTGTAGAACAAACGGCTTCTGTTTGAGGTTGATAAAATAAGGTCATCCTTGTAACTTAGAGAGATATTTTATTATGTAGGTAGGAACTGTATGCATCGCTAAGGTTAATTTAAATTGGCTATGCTCAAGTATGTAGACAAGCTAACGTCGAAGTAGTGTATGTGAAATCAACCTCACAATCAGATGTGTGTATATTACAATTATTAATGTCATATTTCAAGATGATTACTTAGATATTACAATATGGTTGGTTGAGCTGGAGTTCATTATTGAGCTTACACGTTAACATCACAGTCATCTGAAGAACGAACCCAAACCTTGTTGTTTTTATTAATTGCATTACCAAATTGGTATCAAATAAACAGTAAGCATTGGTAACACAACTTCCAAAGTTACAGTAAAATAAAAAGGACCCTGACTCGGCCAATACACAATCCAACATGTTCAACAGAAGAGAATAAGTTATATTGTTTGTACACATGGTTCTTTACATATATATCTGTTTGTTTAAAGTGCCCAGGTTATGCAGACAGGATGGACCAGAGAGTGAGAGACAGAACTGGACTCCTCACAGCAGTGAACTTCAGCACAGGTACAAATACTCTTTTTTCATACTGTACAAAGAATCAAGAAAGATATTGGTTTAAATAAATGAAGTATTGACTTTAATACACTGCTATACATTCCATTAAACAATACTAAATACTAGATCACCTACACATCAGTGAAGTTGAGGGTTTTTTCCATGCAAAGGGTTACATTTAGATGTTAACAAGCAATATGACTGTCAGCTTTCTAATTTAATGTATTGAAGGCAAAGATATTTAACGCATAGTGACAACTGCTATTTATCTCTCAATATTGTCTGTAAAAACGTGGTAAAAGTTATTCTTTCAGTGAGACAACAGAGCAAGCTTGTTTTAATAACAGTTAAATATTATTTTGATAATAAAATATATTTCAATGTTGATGAATGTCATACTGTTCATTCATAATCTGATTGTCTTTGTAGCTCACTGTTGAAATAAAAAAAAACATTACAATTACAAAATAATTATATCTACAGCCCCTAAACACAAACACACCTCTTTCATAAATAACACACTTGTTCTGCAATAATATGTTTTATGTTTCCTGTAATTTTTGTTAGGAAAGGACATGCCTGAAAGACACGACTCAGCATCTCCTCTTTCTCCGAGGGTCAAGAAGAACATCCAAGAGGAAAATTAAAAGCTGATGTTATGAGATTTTAAGACCAGTACAGGACATTCACTAAGAAACTACTTTTATTGTGAAGTCAGCTGATCGAATGCACCTATTTCCACATCTACACTCCATCAGCTGATTATTTCTATTTGCCTCACTTCATGAGCTTCACAACATGTACCTTGTACCGCAGAGTTTGCAACGCAAATAAATGGGGCCAATCTTCAGTCAGATGTGAATGTGTAATCTAACATTTTCAGTAAGAATAATGGACAAAAGGAGTGCAAATACAAATTCAATTTATTGAAATCTGAACCAAAAGTTAATCAAACATGTTTTAAATAAAAAGCACATATGGACAGAAGGTGTAAACCTATTAAATGTATAAGTAAACACATTTAGTCAAATAAAGTGACAGACAAGGCCTGATCAGGTGGTATCAGCTATGCATGGGCTTCTCCATCAGGCCTGGTCCTCCTCGCAGAGGAAAGACCCTCAGTCCTCTCCGGCCAAACCAACAGATTGGACGTCCATCACACGGAGGTTTCTCTCTGAAGTCTCTGCAGCTCTCTGGACACCACGCTGTCTCAATCCGTCCACACTGAATATGAGAGGGGAAAAATGAAAATAATAAATGCTTTAGACTATAAGAAATATAAAGTTGACTGTTGAGTTGCTCAGTTTTTTTAGATTGTCAATACTATTACTGTATAACTAATATCTCAGGTTAAGAGGCACCTTCAAATAAAGATTGGTCTTTAAATACATTTTGTCTTTTGAATTGTTTGTCTAAAGTCAAGGATCTGGAACTGGTACTTGTAGTTTTAATGATACAGTCTGGTTATAATGCTGTTTGGAGGAGGCCTCACAGGTAAGAGCACTAACTAGCTATCATCACATGTACCTTAGCTTAACTTAAATGTATTAAACGTATAATTAAGTGATGGCAAAATATAAATAACTAATGTCATGCAAACATTAATATTTGCTTGATTCCAGTGTTTAATTTAGCACAATTGCATACAAACGTTAAGGGATTTTAAGATTCTGAAGTATTATGCTAAAAACTAGTTTTGCTGAATAGTCTCATGTCCGCTTACCTTAGAAACGTAAAATGCGACGGCAGTGTGCAGATAGTGAGCATGTTAGCTTAGCTTGGTAGCTTGAGCTAGCTCTGGAACTTCCAGCCCGGAGGCAGCAGGTCCCGCCTCGGCTCCGCCTGTTTGCCCTTATTTGGAGCAGGCTGGAGCAGGCGGGAGTTAGACTCAGACGTCACTGTCGAGCCGTTAGTGGCCGACTCCGCCTACTAAGGGCTTCTCGGCAACTCTGCAGAATCCTATGGGTGACGTCACGGACCCTACGTCCATTTATATATACAGTCTATGGCTAAAATGCATGATCTGTTTGGTATTTTGAAAACAGAAACGTATAAATATACCTTATATAGGTATGGCCCTACAATATATCATTTAAATATAGCATGATAGGTCTACATTTAGGAAATGTAATTAAAAGAATCTACCCTATGCATAAACGAAACCCCAATCATAGCGAACTCTATCTACTTACTACAACTCTATATCTATCTAACACCCCTCCTCCCCCCACCCCCACAATGAATATCGACCAATCACGTTCTTGCTTGATTTGCGGGACCAGCGTTGCAGTCGGGAAGAAAAGCAATGTGGAGCAGCACCACTTCATAAGGAGTTTGACCGTGATTTTCCTTCTGGCAGAATCTACACAACACATCAGCCCAATTGAACAGCCTAGTCGTGCCAGCCTATACAGCACATGAGGGGCAGAGTTTTACTCTGTGTGTGTTGCACTTGACGCACACACCCGCATGGCGTAATTTCCACTGGGGACAGGGGGGACATGTCCCCGCCACTTTTCGAAATCCCGTTTGTGTCCCCCCACTTTACAAATATGTTTATTATTATGTTTTAACGCAAGCCGTCATCGCCACAGAGGAGCACACAGCCTCTGTGAGCGCGAGAGAGAGCGAGAGGGAGG